ACTCTCAACACTTTCAGATCATCTGGCACCAAAAGGTTTTCAGACTTTTCTCAGGGACTAAGAAGGTCCTTACTTGGAAAATGCATGGCATTAGAAATTCTCTAACTCTTTCAATCAAATAAAGTTCCCAGTTGGAATAAAACTCTCTCAGCCTGCCTTAGGCTATGGTATAGGGCAGTGATTTTCAACCAGTGTGCCGCAAGAATTTTTAAAACACACAATACCTGACTATTTAGTCAGGGGCACTGACCTCTTTTCTCTTAGACTGTCAAATAAAAAAATGACAACAGCCAAACACAACAATAGCCGTCTGGTGTGAAAGATCAAAATTATACCTTCTTTTTTTTTTTTTCAAATTGACAAAAATATGTACTTTTTGGTGTGCCACAGAATTTTAGTAATTAGTTTAAGTGTGCCATGAGATGAAAAAGGTGAAATCACTGGTACAGGACACTGTAGTACATTTACTAATAAGGCATAAATGAAAGCCACAGAGTTCCAACAGAAAATTAATTATTAGTGTTCAAAATAGGGTTGTCATATTTAGCAAAGAATACAGGAACTTTGTTAAATTCGAATTTCAGATAAACAACAAATTATCTTTTAGTATCAGCATGTCCCAGACAATATTTGTGACAGATGCTTAAAAAAAATGATCCGTTGTTTATCTGAAATTCAAATTCAACTGGTTTCTGTATTTGTCTTACTACTCAGGTAAAAAGATTTGTCCAGCAGCCTAAAGCCTATTTGCAGATAGTCAGAGAGTCTATAGCTGAAGGAGCTTCAAGGAGCTAAGAAGTAGTCAGTAAGGAATTTGGATTGGCACATGATAAAGTTTATTTACTAGGGAACTAAAGTAGTTCATTTTAAGGATCCACTCTGAGAATGTTTGTCATTTAAAAAATTTCTTCCTTCAGTAACAAGTGAATCCCTTCAAATATGCATCTCTTTTTGGCATTCAAGGATATCACAGAACCTTTTGTCCCTGTTCCCTAAGTCTAGACTTAAGAGTTTGCCTCACATGAAAAGAAAGCCATAGTCTGGTCAGGAATAAAGGAGGGTTTCACCTCCCCTTATAATGCTTCTGGGCAGGACAGGGCCTGGTAATGCTGCTGGGTGTCCAGAAGATAAGAGGACAACCCTTTCCTAACTCTGTATTCCTGGTGTCTTCCTAGGGCTGGGTCACTCCCAGAGGGGCCTTCCTCCCACTGCTGTGGCAGAGATGAGCAGCAGGCCAACAGAGGGCCATCCTCACAAAACAACCAACCATTTGCAACAATTTTATTTTGCAAAGATTTCCTGCTGCTGCTAAATGGTGTGCTGCTTGGTTTGTTATTTAAAAGAGTGACCCTAGTGAGACTGGAGCTCCGAAGGGAGGAAGAGTGTGCTTTCAGACCAGGATAAGTAGAAGGAAGGACTGAGGGCTTAATTGAATCCCACTGATGATTTTGAGCGTTGTGCCCGGTGATAACAGCTCAGACTTTGAGGAGGGTGCCTTCTTGTCCCCATTAGTCAACCCCAATCCTTTCTGGATCCTGATAGAAAAATATATTAATATATTTCCAAGAGAGGCTAGGGATTGGATTCAAGGATCATGAGAAGCTGCATTTGGGAGGAGAGGAAGGAAAAGACAATGAAGATGAGCTAGGGATGCAGGGATATGGACAGGGAAACGGCCAAGAGAAGATGTCCCACAGAGTTAGATACAGAATTCTAGAGAAATCATGGGACTGGGGCAGAAGAGAAAGTTCACAGAGGAAATGCCTTAGTGGAAAAGTATGTTTGTAAGTCTGAAGACACTTTTTACACTGTATCCTTGGGAAATCGAGTGAAGGTGGACTTTTTCTCTCAGCTCCACACTGGTCCTGGAGGGATTTGTGAATAGTGTGCAATCCCTGTTCCTTTTAAGACTGCTATACTTAGAAGATGGAAGTGGGCATCTGTGGCTATCTTGACAATAACCCCTAAGGAAGGAGTACAGAGAACCTAGGAAGGCTACCTTCCAGAGTGGCCATAAGAGATGGTAACCAAGGTTCAAACCAACTGTGGTTTTAAAGATACAGTGGTTAGAGGCCAGGCTTGAGAAAAAACATTTACATCTAATGTAAAGTAAGCCAGATGGGAAATAATAATACCTGCAGATCCCTGTTTTCCCAGAGGAAGTTTTAAGATAAAAGCAGGTACTCCTGGACCATATTTATGGACTTTAAAGTAACACCCACTTAATTTCCTTGTGTTGTTCAGCAAAGGCTTTAGTTTCAATATTCCTCCATAGTTAACCTTTTTTTGAAAATGAACTAACACTTGGTAAAATAATCTAAATCAGATTTAAATTTAACACCAAAACCAGTGGGAGAAAACATGAATGTACAGAACAGAATGAATAGTGGGTTATTAAAGGAACTCTCTATTATCTTGCAAAGGGGAGCAGAATGAGAAAGCTCCTGGAGGGAAGTATGCACTGGACAGCTCAGCATCTTGGAGGATGTCGCTCCAAGGGTCTTCCCTGAGACAAACACTGTGCTAGGATTGGGGGGCATAGAAATGAGTAAGACAGAAAGGTCACTGCTTTCTCAGAATTACTGGGGAGAGAGATAATAAAGCATGTAATTATAACAGTCTGAAGAGTGGCTTTATTGTTAAAGCACAAGATGCATTAAAGGCTTATTACAGGGTGATATTAGTCCAGGGTTTGGGAAAGCCTTCCCAGTGGAAGCGATGCCAAGAATGAAACCTGAATGAAGGGCTTGAGACAGGTAAAGGAGCATCTGCATTTGTGTACTGGCGGGAAGGGATTACTCAGCGCACACTGGCTGCAGGTGAGGGCGGACATGGTGTTCTCAAAGAGCTAAAGTAAGTTCAGTATTGCGGGAATGCGGCGTTTAAAGCAGAGAGTAGCATGCGGCAATTTTGGAGAGACAGGCGGGCCCATGCTGTGGAAGACTTGGTGAACCATATTAAGGAGATGGGACTTTGTTACAGGGGCAATAAAGACCTATTGAAAGGCAGTGAGTAGGAGACTGATGGCATCACATTTTCATTTTAGATCACTCTGGCTGCAATGTAAATTGAAAAGAAGCAGAACTGAGAGCCAGGAGATATTGAAGAGGCCCTGCAGCAATGCAGGTGAGAAGAGGTGGACTGGGATATGGCACAGAGATGCAAATAAGTGGGACTACTCCAGGGGCAACCCCACAGAAAAATGCTTGACTGGCTATTAGGTGTCAGGGATACAGAATCATGGGCATTGGAAATTTTTATTATGGGAAACTGGGTAATAGGATGTAGCCTTTATAGGTGGTGCAGATTTGGCTAGAATAGGTGGGAGGAGAAAACCATCAGCTTTGGATATGGTGCATTCTAAAGAAACATATCTAGTAACAGTTAGAGATACTGACCTGGGGCTCAAGTGAGAGATTGCAGCCAGATATATCAATTTGGGGGTAGTTTACAGACATTAACTGTATCCTTGGTAACGGATATGAAAAGAAGAGGGCCTAGGACAGAGCCCTGAGAAGCACTAATATCCAAAGATGTGTAAAGGAAGTAAAAGAGTGTGCCAAGGAGCCTGAGACAGAATTACCAGAGGGAGGAAGAAAACCAAGCCAGTCAATACCAAGCAAGCAGTGATAACGAGGGATGGCAGAAAGAGCCAAGTTCAAGGTGGGAGAAGATGTGGACTGGAGCACAGATACAGCTACATTAATACTAGTTTTAGTTTCAACTCTGAATTTAGAAGCCTAACTGAGAGGCAACAGTCCAACTCCTTTCCAGAAGTTAAACAAGGATAAGTAGGAACACATTCAGCCTCCACTAAATGTATGTCGACCTCCCCACAGTACACTTTCTCAGATCTTATTTCTTAAGCTGAATGGTGGGGACCTGAGCACGTACTGAGTTTTTCTGAATACCTTGCTATATGTCTAATATAGTTGTTAAATTTAAAACGGATGCCCAAAACGTTGTTGAGGAAAAGAAAGTCAGGTTATTGAAAAGCATATATACACTTCCATTAACATAAAATTATAGATTTGTATCCACATAGGTATCCATGCACAGGGAGCTGTCTAGAAAGATACTCACTAATTCTTTCAACAATGATTATTTCTCATTAGTCAGATTTAAGGTCATTTTTATTTTCTTCTTTGTGCTCTTCTATATTGTTCCGATTTTTACAACATGCATATGTAGCAGTTTTATACAAATAACTAAAATATAAATGCACCCTATAGAATTTCCTGCCCCACACGGTCACATGATTACCCCTTTGAGGATACTCTGCAGTTATGGCTGGGCTATGAGGTGAGGTCAGAGGAGCAGAATTCCACCCTTATCTTCTTACTGAATAAACAAGACTGAGAGCAGCCATAAAAGCCGCCTCTACAGCAGCATCCTCACTCTTAAAGGCAGAGAGAGGAGAGGCAAAAGAGAGAAAAACCAAGGGAAGCATCCTGTTCATGTGCCTACCCACCCATATAACCTACTCTCCACTTCCTCCCGGCACTGCAAAGGGAGATCAGTGGGCTGGTCCCCCCTCCTTTCTGTGCCTGTGGTGTCTTTCCGAGTGATCACGTACATGATGACCAGAGAGGGTTCGACTCCCCATGAGCCTCCCACCTGCAGTGTGACTTTGGACAATTTATACCTACAAGCCTTACTCCATTGTACTGTAAAATGGAAACAAATTTTAAAACCTGTTTACTAGAGTTGTTGCTTTGAGGATTAAATGAGGTAAAAACTGCAATATGCTTAGAGTAACTCCCAGCGCATATTAAGTGCTCAATAAGTGGGAGCTGTTTTGTATTTCTCAGAACGAGCGCATAGCCACAGCACGCTTCAGACCCGAAACACTCACACTGTCACGAACAACGGCCATCCCAGTGGCCAGCCTTCAGCCTGTGGCCTCCTGAGCTGCTCTTCCCACTCTTTCCACGTGCCCAGCCCCAGCCCTGGAAGCTGAACCCCGCCCCCACCGACAGCGCGCCCGCTGCCACACTCACCTATTCAGCATGTTGGACTGGTAGATCCGCTTCTCGTGGGTGTTGTAGCAGCTGCTCTTGGGCTCCGGGATGAAGCTGTGCTCAGACAGCATGTCGGAAGCAGCGGTGGTGATTATGGCAATTCCATCCCTCACTCTGGCAGGGAGGCCATAGTCCCATTCATCATAGGACACTGAGATGAGCCCCGTGGGGAACTCCGAGGGCACCGTGTCCGTATCCCCTGCCACCAGACTAGGCACAATCCACGTGTAGCCGCAGCCGGTCAGCCCTACTGAGTTAGCGACTTCGAAGATGTAGGTGGCCTCTTCCTTAGTACAGTAAAGAAGAATGATGGGACTTTGAAGTTTCTTGAGCTGGTTCTGAATCTTAGAATCTCCATCATCCAGGGACATGTCCAGCAAGAGGACTTCCTCCAACTCCCAGCCCACAAAGCTATTCTCAATGGTGCTGCGAATCTTGTTCACAAAGTCCTGGTAGCCAGGGAAGTAGGTGGTGACGATAGAAAAGATGTACCAGTCATACTCTTCCATGATGTTGAGCATTACGGAGGCTTGCTGTTCAATCGATGGGCCAAACTGGAAGAACATGGAAGACTCATCCTAGAATAGTAAGAATGTAAAGAGAGAGAGAAAGAGAAATCAAACCAAAGATGGCAAGGGAAATTTTGAACCAATTGAATAGAAATGTTTGTGTCCATTATTTACCTTTTCACATAATGCCTTTCTAATTGAATATGTTTCAACTGCAAACACTTGTAATACCTTTCTTCCCAAAGCTATCTCCTAGAGCCAGAGAAATTCTACATAGGTCTACACACACTCCTTGTCTAAAATCTCTGGGGCTACTGCCAGAGCCCAAGACAGCTTCCTAAGAATCTAATACGCTAATATTTCTATAGTAAAACATATGGAGAGTTTCATAAAGTGGGGTAAAGACTCTAAATGGCCTCATGCCAGTTCAGGTCAGGTTTTACTCTCCAAGAAATCATGCAAACACACGCGCACGCGCAGGCACACACACTTTCCATTTCTCAAGCCCTTCGGACTCTTAGTAGTGGATGCATATTACTCAGTCGGAGTGAACAATCTGAAATGCCATCAAGCTACACGCAAACCTACCTATAAAGGGGGTGTAGGCACACTGGCCCAGCAGGTGGGCGGGATTCGGTATGCATATTAGGGTATGTACAGTACAAGATTTCATCGGTATATTTTCTATAAAGGTATATCTATTAAATTAAAACACAATTAGTTTTATCTCTGTCTTCTACTCTGACAATGAGGTATGCAAGTTAGAGTAAGGCTCAAACAATATCTAAGCCACAAGTTAGAATAACTTGTATTCAAGCCCAGATGTGACTAAGCTTTATTTTAGAGCAACTTACAGAAGAGCATTCTTTCTCTTGCATGCATGATGCCCCAGGTCTTGGTCTGACCTCTGCATCACACACATAAGCCTCTGTCAGTTCTGAGCATCTTCTGCTTCTGCCCTCTTTTGAGGAAGGAGCCATTTTTAATTTCTCCCACCTGAAGTTGTGTTTCTCTTGCTGTTCTGAGATGCCACACCCTGCATTTTATCTCCACCTTCCAGCTAGAAGAATCCAAAAGCACAACATGAAGACCCCTGTCCATCTCTCGAGGTCCATTCTCCCCTGACATCATGCAGGGTGGTGGCATCCCTTTTCTTGGTCAGTGTGCTTATCTTCTATCTGATGGTTCATCTCTACTTTATAACAGTCAGGGCTAACAAAACCGTCTTTGTCAAAGTGGCAGTTCCTTTTTAATCTCCCAGACTAGAGCTTCAAAATACAGTGACAATCGACCAGGCTTTTAAACAGATTATACAGTTATTTCTTAGATCAGGAGCATATTGTCGTACAGGGGAGAGATTGCTGAGAGTCCTGGAGGCACCCACTATTGAAAAAAATGCAGCTGGTGTCCAAAGACACTGGTTCAGCAATGAAAGCTGCCAGCCCCTCTGCTCTGCCAGAGCTCCTGTTGCTTTGTGTGGCTTGGACTTTTCACAATTCCCACAGGCTATCCAGAAGGAAACAGTAGATGCTTAGTCATTGGGGATGAGTCTTTCTGAAAAGGGTAAAATGATTTTATCATGGCTTCCTCCCCTGGCTTAAACATGCAAAGAGGAGCCCCGCAGGACTATGCAACTCAGAAATGTAAAGAGGGTGGGGCACCAAGAATGGCTGGGCGGGGGAGTGGGAATAATTTGGAATAAAATAACGATTTCATGTGTGCCTATTGCAAACTGTGGCCAACCCCCTCTCCCGATTTTCTCCCGCTGCAATACAGGTTTTGCTTTTCCAGTGAAGTGGACCTTGTCCTTAGGTTATAGGCTGTAGTGGGGATCCAAAACAACAGTGTTTAATTATTCCAAGACTTGTCAGGGACTTACAGAGATCCACAACCACAGGACAGGAAGGCAAGTGACAGAACAACCCTCCCAGAATGACTATCACTTAAATAAATAGCCATTTGTTTTTCTTGTTGTACATCCAGCTCAAGGGATTTTGGGTGATTCTCTAATGAGACATATTTTCAGTTGAGTTTTCACAGTAGATATAACAAAGTGACAAAGGCTTCCAAAAAATCCTTAAAATGTACAGGCTCAGGATGAAAGGGACCCCACTTGTAAAAAGTTTACCCATTCTATGATAAATGAACATGTCTTATCACAAGGACTTTCTTGAACACCCACATAGTTCCATCTACAGTGAAAACACAGCTGGTTCAAATACTTATGGAGAGGTAGCCGTGAGAGTAAACCCATGGAGGTCCATTGTAAATGAGCCTGTGCTAATGATATTGAATTTAAAAGAAAACCAATCTATTATATAAGCAACCTGACCCTCTCCTCTCTTAGTCTTCTGTTAAAACTCTCTCACAATTATAAATGAACTCCTAAGAAACTGCCAGCGACTATGTGAAGAAAGCCAATGCGTGGGGAAAGTAAGAAAAGAGAAAAAATAACACGGCTCCATCTCACCCCTATCATGTCCTCATCTTACTTCTAATTCCATCATCCCTAAATCACCCCTTTCCTGGCTCCTCCGCTCCCATCAATGTCCAGTTCCACCACTTTATCTTGACAATCTTCACTAAATAAGAGTGCCTTATTATCACAATTTTATCTGTGGCATCAAGAGGAGGTTAATGAAGCCAAACGGAAATTAAGAGACAGAGTTATAGCCCGGGCAAATGTTTCCTGGTATAATGAGTGGTCCCATGTTATTAATTTAGTTGACACACCAATCTGGTGTATGGTAATCGGGAATGGGACAGCTCTTTTTCAACAAAGCTTTGGGCTAACTATAACTTGCAAGCAGTGACAGGCTTTGCAAATTATGGCCATAGCCACAAATCAAAGAGTGATCTTCATGTGTGCGTGGTGTGGAAAGAACTGGTGGCCACACATCCATCCTTGCAGTCACCCAGCATGCATTATGATCACCACGAGAAGTGTCATCTTCTAGGATGAAGGACAGGGACATTGTTCAGCATGCAGCTTACTATATGTTTCCCCACTTACATTTTATCTCCCAATATCATTACAAAACGGTGATGTGCAGGAGTCCTTGGAGCAGTCTCCTTCTCCTAATAAAGAGTCCCAGTCACATTTTTTGCATGAATGTACTTCTTCAACTTGCCTTGAGAGCACCTTTAAAGCATTCCTATAGAAAGGGCCACCATGACTGAGATGAGCAATTGGCACAGGAAAGGCTCAATTGTACATTAGACCTCATCAGTCTACAATCATTATTTCTAACCCCCATCACATAGGTGTTCATGGTGTTTGGCTGCTAATAAGAAACAAAAAAACAGGTACTTTTTCATTGTATTACCTGTTCTCAGAAAATAACTGTCAAAAGAGTTAGCAGTGCATGATATTCTTCTTTTGCTTCACCCAGAGCCCCTACAGACCCACTTCAGAAATAAAGGATTCACTACTCCAGCTGCTGAGAGCACCCTGGCAATAGGTTTCAGCCATCAGTGACTTTGGGGATTGTGTAAGCAAAAGAGAACCATCTTGCCCAAAGTCATGCCCTCTGGCTGGAGTAAACTGGCCCAATGACTGGTTGTCATGGAATTAAAGACCTGGTCTTTGCTCTAACTCTGGACAGCTCTGAAGGATCAGTCTATCTTCAGAACTCCCAACAGGGTTGGCTGGAATTTCCATTAAAACCACTTCCTACCTCTACTTCTCCCCTCTGCCCACTCCTGCTCAGTCTTCCCTTCCCTTTCCCAGCACTGATCTCAAGAGCACTCCCCAACAAACCACCTGTACACCAACCTCATTCTCAGAGTCTGCTTCCCAGGCAACCCAACCTGAGACTATTCACTTCCCTCTTTATCAATATGGGAAGAGAAGACTTAAAAGAGAGCATAATATCTATTTTCAAATACAGAAATGACCTATGTGGTAAAAATGTAAGGCTTTGACCATTAGCACCAGAGGGGGAAACTGGGAATAATGAGTAGAAATATTAGAAGGCACTATTTGTCTCAATATAAGAAGTGGATTTGCAACAACTATAGCTATTTAAAATGGAATTGGCCTTATAACATAGCGAGGTCTCTGTAGCTATAAGCATGCAAACAGAGCACGCTGGATTATCATCTGGAAAAGGGATTCTCCCCAGCACTGTTTGGAAAACATCATGCTCATCTTTAAGATCTAGTTCAGATGGCAGCTTTTTATGCATACTGGTTTTTCTAACTTTCCCAAGTCAAGTTTTCTTTCCCCTGTGCTTTCACAGTATTTTATATGTGCATCTAGCATAACACTTATCACACAGGAAGCATATATGCCTGCTTCCTCCCACTAAAAATATATGTTCCTCAAGAGAAGGAATTATGCCTTATTCACTTCTGGATCCTTAGGTGGCATATGGGAAAAAAAAAAAAAAAAGGTGTATTTGTTGTATTAATATTATAGAAAGATTCCTTTGTTAGGTGGGAGATTAACTGAAATGACCTTGTCAGGCTCATCTGGTTCCAAAGTTCTATGCTGATGGTACATAACTACTTCATAAAAACACAGAAGGCCTGAATAGTTATATATTAACTGCATTTGTATAAAATGTGAGGGATTCTCCTTGGAGCCAGCCAGAGAGCAGAAAATGCTCCTGGCCACTCCTCTACTCTTCTCTGCAGCAAAGCCCTTAAAAGCATCATCTGTACTCACTTCCTCCAGTTCCTCTTCTCCCATTCTCTCTTACACTAACTCCCACCAGACTTTCGACCCCACTACTCCACTAATACTCCTCTTGTGAAAGGCAAGGTGACCCTGATATTGCCAACTCCAGCATCCATCTGCAGTCACCCTTACCTACAAGCATTTGACATGGCTGATCCATCACTGGCTTCCTTCCCTTGGCTTCCAGGGTTCCAAATTTCTTGACTCTCCTCCTACCTTACTGGCTGCTGTTCCTCTGTCTCCTTTGCTGGTTCCTCCTCTTTCTTCCGTGCTCTTGAAGCCAGAGTGCCCCAGGGTCAATCCCTGGTCCTCAGGTCGTTTCTATCAACATTCACCTCCTCAGAGATCCCACTCAGTCTCCTGATTTAAATTCTATTTATAAGTCAAC